CACTGTATTTCTGCAGAAGAAAAAGGATTTGAATTTAATTGTCTTCCCATGGGCCTTGAGTCTAAACAGACCGGTGCAGGAGAGGTGAAATATAAAACAAAGTGATATTGTTAAACAAGCTATTTATGATCATATGTACTGTTGAAGATAGGAAAAATACCCAAAATACACTGATCCTTTTTTTTTTTTTTTTTGTGACTGGACTCATTCAAAAAACGGTTTCAAGAATTGGACACATTGAACGGTCTAATCCAGAAGATTAATAGCAAGAAGCCAAGGGGGACCTTAAAGCCAAATTACAGTATACCTAAAATTGTAGCTAAAAGAGTGATTAGTGCAGGGCTGATATGTATCAATTACAGTTTCATAATCCCTGCTGACCATAGTAATTATACAGTACTTTTGATCTATTTTAGCCTGTTTGAAGATTACATCCAAAAAAAAAAAAAAAAAAGGGGAGTCAGTTAATATGGATTTAATGTGACTTTTTTAAATTGCTTCATTAATAATACTCCTTCTATAGGATGAATATAGCAGGGTGCTTTAACGGTACATTAAGAGCTATAAACCTTGAAATATACTGTCATATTTATTGACTGTTTCTCTGGATCTAAAGACTGAGTTCTAATTATTAGTGATTCAAGTCTAGCTGATTATAAAGGCGGTGTCTATTATGTTCATCTGCATCGGATGACATGCTTCATTGTCAGTTCCCGAGAGGATACCATGATAGAATTATTAATTCAGGGTAACCATTTCTTTTAAGAGGATTAGGAAGTGCTAGAGTGATGCAGAAACGGTTAATCGCTTGCGGAGAGAGAAAACAACTCACATACATGTAGATGTATTGGAAAGTCAAGGCAGGTAGGCACATTCTGAATGACTAAATCAGAGTGAAATTAATACAGAGAGAAAACCAGGATTGTTTTTTTTTTTCATTTCCCGCCTTTCTCCCCCAATCCAGACAGGTTGTAAATTAATTTTCATTAGGTTGTGTCGAACGAACAGAGGGATTGTTTCGGAGCTAAAGCCGTGACTGGGGGCGTATATATTTACAATACTGGAACAAAAGGAGTCTATAATCTATACAAAGCACACAACAATACCCATGAATAAAGAAGCTTGTAGAAAAAGGGAGAGGCAATTTTTCTAATTCTGTTAATTTCACTTCCAAAGCAATTAAAAGCAGGCAGAGATAATGCTGGGAAACAATCGCCGGCTGACAAAGTGTTTCTGTCTTTGTAAATGAAACATCTTTAGGCTAATTTCAACTTCCACGCCTGCATGGTTCACTCTAATTTCAGATAAAATTAACACAGCTAGATTTGGACCTTCATAAAAAAAAGTAGAGGAGAAAGAAGAAAAAAAAAAAAGATCGATCCTGTACACAATATTTTTAGAATTAGGTCTATGTCGCCCGAGCTTTGCTAGATCTAATTTTCAGTATCTATAAGGACATTTTCATACAATTAATTTTCCTTTAATCATAATTGTACAAAGGGACTTCTCTGTATAAAATTCCAATTATATTTCCTGTTTAAAATGTAAGTTTGAATTATGATTTCTTTCCTCATTACGGCTCTGGTTTAATGAATCAATCGCTGCATCACTGCTTTCAGACATCAAATGGCGCGGAAAAGTTTCAGCTCCACTTTCTCCCCTCTTTTATCCAAGGAGAAATATTCTCCCTTTCCCCTTCTCTTCCTGTCTCGGATAGTTGGCAGAAAGGATAGCGGGGCCTGTGTGATAAGTGTGGCACATTCTACTTCATTTGCCAGTTTAAAAGTTACAGCCTTATTAATTGTTACAGCGTGATATCCACAGGAAAATTGGACTGAACTCATTCAAGAGATGGAGAAATAATAAAAAAAGACATAGCCCACATGTGTATCTCTGTAGGAGGGACATCAATTAAGTTGAGACTTATCCAACAGCACCACTGAGCTTTCTAGGTTGTGAACTAAAGACGGAGGAAAAAGCCTAAAGCTTACATTTATTCATGTTTCCAAACTTATGGTTCTCGAGGGGATAAAACTTGTGAAATGTGCGAGATGAAATTCAGGAAATACTTTACATCAGTTCCTGGACGGAGAAGGCCTCGCGTTTTTGATGAAACCTTTACAGAGACATTTATAGACCGAGAACATGCAGACACAGTGAACCATCAAATTCAGATTTTGTTTTGTTTGGACTGCTTCAGATTTATCAAAGAGGTTTCTAGAACAAATTGCTCCTTTGCAAGTAACTGAGGCACACTGAGAGCTTTGACATCTGCCTCAGTGTGGACAAAATTTACCTAGAAGGAAATAAAGACGCTGTGGTGGAGTGAAGAGCAGAGCAGCACTCATCATCTACTGGACTAAAACAGATTTAAAATCAGCTCATCAAGCCCAAAGAGCTTTATTCAAGACAATAATGTATATTAAGACTGAAGATGCAACAAATAGCTATTTCCATCATTAAATAATAATCAGTTACTTTTTTAACTGATCATGTAGTGTATAAAATTAAAGGGAATTAATGGCAAATGCATATATTAAGTTTCTATATCTTCTTTTCTTTGATTATTTTGTCTGAACAACGGTTAACAATCCCAAATCCCAAAAAGATAACATTTCAATGAAACTATGGGCTGCATGTCATCTGAAATGTTGCTGTATTAATGCCAGTATGAAACCTGGTTTTTCGAGGACTATAAACTTTTCTTTTTTTGATGAAAAAACGTTTATTTTGTAAAATAGGACAAACCTCTTACTACCTCAGTTTTTTTCAAAAAAGGGCCCCAATAAGATAAAATACATTTAAAAATAAAAAAGCAAATTCTTGGTTTAGAGTTGGGATTATCCGATAAAGTAAAAGGTAGGGCTGCAACTATCGATTATTTTCTGTCAAGTAATCTGCCGATTACTTTCTCGATTAATCGATCAATTGTCTGGTCTATAAAATGCCAGAAAACAGTAAAAAAAATTGGGTCTACAGCCCAAGATGGAGAAAAGAAGATCATGAAAAAATAGAATATTCACATTTAAGATGATGAAATCAGAGAATTGCCTTTTTTTCTAACAAAATAATTTAAACAAATAAATCCATTATCAACTTTGTTTGGTGATTCTTCTAATAGTTGGCAACAAATGGATTAATCAACTAGGTGTTTGGTCTATTAAATATCAAAAAACAGTAAAAAAAAATGTTGATCTGTGTCTCCCAAAGCCCCAGGTGGAGCAAAGAGGAGGGAAGAAACCAGAAAATATTCACATTTAAGAAAATGAGATCAGACAAATGATTTCTTTTTCTTAAAAAAGTACTTGAACCTACTGATAATCAAATTGAAAAAAAAAAAAAATGAAATTAGTTGGCAATTATTTGAAAGTTGACAACTAATCAATTTATCATTATCATAAATCTGATGACACCAACTTTAGGAACCTGGTGGTCTTTGACACTAAATGCTACAGACACAAACCATTCGGTACTTATAAAGTATTACCTAGCTAACGTTTATTATATTCACTCAATGTATGTCTTGAAACGATTAACTGATAACAGACTGACTGACAGATTTTTTTGTCAGTGAGCTAGAGCAGAAACATAATTGTATTCATTAGCCAATCCACAGAAAAATAATCCATAGCTATTTGAATAATCAATCAGTTCTGTAAGAGTAAATATCATTAGTCTTGAAATGTTAATCGGACAACACAAACAACAAAAAGCACTGATAATTTTGGGCATTAGCATATAGTGATGGACATTTTTCACTATTTTCTTACATATAATGGGCAACACATTGATCAGTTGTTCCAAACATGAAAGTGATTGTTATTTGCAGCCCTAGTGGACACATTGCACCTGGTATTCAAACAGTATTCAAGACAATGACCTGAATGTGAGGTGTTCAATGAAAGGACGTGACTGTGTGCACAAGTTCACTAAATTCCTTCGCTAACATTCTAAAAGGAGCTAAAGTCATTCTCAAAGTGTTTCAGGAAAACAATTTTGAAATTGGGGACAAAGTGATAAAGGATTGGTCGTAAAATAAAATTACAAGTCCATCTTAACTAAGGGAAAATCCAGTCCACCATCAAGATGAGACCAGGACAGATGTGGTAGTACAGGAGTACTTGAGCTCCAGCGCAGAGACTGCAGCTGTCTGTCTTGGAGGCGCGAGGAGAGGCAGAACAAAGTGCTGCGGCTGATGAAGGCGCCAAAGATACTGCTTTATTAACTCTCCGTCCACATCAAACCTGCAGCAAGCAGCTCGCTGATTAAACACAGAGACAACACACATCAAACCTGCATGCTCAACAAGCCTGATTAAACAGACGCAAGCCTCGGCGCTCTCACGCTAATAACCCGCCGCACAAAAAATACATTAGACCTGAAAGCAAGAGAAGGAGAGGGAGAGAGAGGAGGGAGAGGCATACTTGTATAAGAAAATCACAGACTTGTGAAGAGAAACATTAAAGGAGGATATTTAGAGAAAGAAAGGGGGGAAGAAAGGGGGATGTGTGAGCTCTCTCTCGAGGGAAACTAAGGTACCTGACACAGAGTCACGCACTGGAGAGGAGCCACTTATTGATCAGAGTGAAGAGAATTACCCACCACGGAGGAAATACTTTTAATCAACTTTGCACTTTAAACATTTTTCCTCAACGCTGCATGGGCTCTTATCACAGCTCCATGGCCACCGTTCCCTACCATCAACCCACACACAAGAGGAACCATCCACACAGTCCATGATATCGATCTGTTATATTCAGCTTCAATAATAATCAGCTTTTTCTCCTCAGCTTTTAGGATTTGAGCAGCTAACGACTGCCCATTGATTACTCTGGGGATGACAAACTCAAGCAAAGCAAATTCGACGGATCTGAAATCCCCTGGACTTATTGACCGTCCCTCACATCTTCACATCTAATGTGATGATGATGATAAAGTTCCCAAAGTGCACTGGGGGCGTGCAATAGGTAATGGTAAGACCTAACTATTAAGACCTGCAGGCTGATCATCCTCTATCAATCCTCTGCAACATCTCTTAGATGTTCTGAAACTGATGTGTCATATCCGTCTCAGTGAAACCTGAGATAGACATGACAGGATACAAATGTTTTCACCTATGCAAGTGTAGCAGTATAGAGGTGCTTATTGTCATTGTTTACAATGTGCGCCGCTGGGGGCCGCCAATGAGGTGGGCCGGTATAAAAGCGGCAGTCCTCCCACTGGTTCTTCCTTTGCGCTCCTATCATCGCCTCTGCGTCACTTCCGGGTCGGAGGTCGTCTGGTCCGACAGGTATGGCTGCACGCTGCTTCACCTCGCTGGTCGTTTGTTTGCCCACGTGCTTAAGGCATTGGTGTTGTGTTGTAGGGCGACTGCCTGTGTGCTGTTCTGGCCCCCCTGTATGCGCTGCTGCGTTTGTTGGCTGTGGTAAGTGTCCTCTCTCTTTGTAGTATAGTTGATGCTATCAGGTGGCTAATGCTAGTGTGGTCGCAGGTAAACGCTGGTGGCTGCATGGAGCCCTCTCTCCCCCTCCCTCCTCTCGTGTGAGTGTGTGTGTGCCTGCGCTGCGGAAAAGGTATGTTATGTGTATTGTAGCACGCACCGCATCATGTTCAGTGTATTTAGCCATGCTAATAGCATTTTTCTTGGTTAGGTGCTAACTGTAGCCAGCTTATCGGGCCGCTGCTGCTTTGTCTCCGCTGCTGCTTTGTCTCCTGTTGTGTCTTCTGCTTGCCTCCATCACGTCTGCCGTTTGTCTCTGCTGCTGCTTGTCCTCACGGCACGGTGGCACGCTGCGGCACTGTAAGCCGCTCCGCAGCTCTGCTTCCGCCATAGGCACTGTTGCTCTATTTCACGTCCGGAGCAGGACGGTTGCTCGTCCGCCCGTCACGGGCCGAGACATTATTTTTAACCGGGGTTTGGTCCCCCGCATTTTGAGTGAATGAGTGTGTGAGAGTGTGGGTTATATTCTATTAGCTTGTTTATTTTTATATTGTTTGGGTTGAACCTGATTTTGTTTGTCTGTATAATTTATTTGTTAATTAGGTTAATTTGAGAGATTTTGTATATGTAATTGGATAATTGTTTGGGGTTTGTTTTCTTTATTTAGCCTTAATTTCTTTTTTTGCTTTGTCTATATTTGAGTATTTCAATTGGGCAGTTATTAGTTGTTACATTTTGTTAAGTTTAGACTTGTGATCTGCCCATTAATTACAATTTTTGTTAAATTTTGATTTATTGATTTTGTTTGTTTCATTGCAACCCCACTAATTTGTTTTATCATTCTCCTTTTCAGTTGCTGGAGGCCGGTGGTGGCGGTGCTGGTGTTTGGTGATGGTATCCATCCTTCCGTCTTGTCCGCTGTGTTCCTGGGAGTGGGTTGCTTCACTGAGTGTGTCTGCCACGTGTGCCTGGTGATTTAAGTTGGTTTCTCTTTTTTTGGTGGATCCTTCCCCTTCACTAGTCCTTGTCCACTCACTAGGCCTCAGCCCTGATTAGGTTCTTTCCCCCTCCCTGTGTGAACATTTTTTTTAAAAGAAAAATGATTGTTTAATAAAAAGTGTATTTTTTTTAAAACTTGGAACCACGTCTCATGCCCCTTTGAGTAAACGAACCTGTGTGTCTTGTATTGAAGAAGTAATTCCCTGGGTGAAATTCCCAGGGTGGCGTTGTCGAGCCCTTTTCTTGGTAACAGTATTGGCTTTATATCCTTTCACCTCCACCTCGCCACACAAATAACAACTGAACATACAGTATGCTTGCATTCAACTCCAGAAGTGAAAAACCTCCAATTTAACTACACTACAGAGCAATTGTAAGAATTCCTACAGTTATTTAATATTACTTTTTCTTAATATCACAGAGCTGAAAAATACCCTTCAGCTCCCGGAGCCAAAGGTGATGTCCTCAATCAACTTGCTTTTCTGACCAACAGTTGACCAACAGAAATAGGGACCAACCAATTACCAGCCATGATATTCCACATTTTTATGATAATTGTTATTATTTATATATCTAATATCTTTGACCTATCAATATTGATATCAACATCGAGATACACTTCACTTTCAGACTTCTTAAAAATAATCATCAGAAACGTGAATATAACAACTCAGTGGGTAACTACAAATAATAGAACAGCTACAACTGTCTGTTAAGTTCAGAAAATGACATCACCTGTAATGCAGCCTTTAATACCAGGAAATAACAACACTAGTGATGCTACGATATCCAAATTCTTGCACAATATCTAGTCTCATATCCTGATATCGATATAATAGATATATTGCCCAGACCTGGCCGATAAAATAGAAATAATTGAAAAAACGTGCTAGTTGGATGCAGCCACCTCTCTGTCCTGGAGAGGACATGACAATTAGTTTGCTTTCATTACCACTGCAACCTTCAAGTACTATTTTAAAACTGAGCACCACCATGCATTATATGTGGAAACTTAAAACAGAAAAGTATATGAAACTACCCTGGTGGGAAAAAGAGGAAGAGGTTATTCAACTTTTTTGTATTTCACACAAGCAAGAAACAGGACATTATTATGACGACCACTTCTACTAATAGTCACAGCTAAGCTAATATCACTATCACTAATAATGCTGCTGTCATCATGATACTGGTGATGATGGTTATAGTGATGAAGATGTACTGCAGGGATCTTAAGGAACCATAAAAATTCTGGCTTTGATGGTGCTACTGTTATTCTGTACTGTATTCTGGAAACTCTACAAAACAGTTGCATGACAAAAAACAAAAGATGGTGGAAAGTGAAAAGATGGTGCTGAAGTAGCATATTATGGTGCAGCACTATTTTTCTTAAAGGAAAGACCTGCATCACAGCTGCTAACTGAAGAGGCTGCTAAGCAATTTGAAATAGGAACAAGACTCTGCCAATAATAAGAAAGGAAAGCAACCACATATTTAAGAATAATGAACAACGGACCACAGCGAGCTGCTTTTGCAGAACAAGACTGCATCAGTATAATGTCTAAATGTAAAATCTTTTGGAACTGCATACACCGATTTTGAAGGTTGAGCTTCATATTAAAGTTGAAACAATTAGTGAATAAATTAATTGGTTGACCGACAGAAAAGCAACCAACTTGATGACTAATTAACAATTTAAGTCTTTTTTTTTTCTTTTTTTTTTTTTAATGGCAAGCATTACTTTGCTCCAGTCTCTCAAGTGTGAGGATTTGCTTCTTCTCTTTGTCTTAATACTTGTGATGGTGAGCTGAACACCTTCTGGTTTTGGAGAAGCCATCTGAAGGTGTCACTGTGGGCAATGAAAATTGTGATGGGTCTTAGAAATGTCAGATAACGGTGGAAATTGTGATGAATTGGAGAAATACTAAACAGACCAATGAAAACTACAAAACAATGAAATGGTAATTAATTGCAGCCCTGTTACATATAATAACCTCATCCCAAGCTTTTTAGAAGTTTGGCTCTCAGTCTAATTGAAGCTTTCCACTCACCAAGAACTACGTAATCCTAAACCTGCAGTTATATAAGAATTGTGACAGGCAGTTTGGGTTAAATACATTCTGCTGTTCATACATTATCCAGTCAGTGTGGTCCACCTCCATCAGGAGAGATGACGTAGGTTGTCATTTATGTATGTATTGTTGAAGCGATCAACTGATCAATTCTAAACTGTCAGTAGGAAGCACTTAACTCGAATCGATTCTAACGAGACAGTGTGATCACGTTACAGCTGGTTGATGGAGAATAAAAGTAGACCAATGTCTGAGAAAGAATCCTCTGCCATACTCCTATACGTCTCATATCAACACCACTCTGCACTGCAGGTGTGTCAGGCAGGCGCACACTGTACTTAAGTAAAGAATACATCAGAAACAGTGTTCCTAAAAAGTTTGGCGGCTCTGACAGCAGTAGTTCAAATCAGACACTTGCTTTCACACATCTCCTGAACCATAAGACTTACACATTTTGTATGAAAACAGACCAAACCCTTCTGCTGGGTTTTTCCAAATAATAATATATATGAAAATAAATTATCCTGTAGTGTCATGTTAAAACAGTACTATTTGAAAAAAATAGACACATAAACAGTCTGAAGAAGTTCTGTACAAACCAAATTTGAGAACGTATGGTCTAATCAGGTGTATACCATCCAGAGCACTATGTCACCCTTAACCTGACCAGAGCATTGAGGTCTGTCCTCGCCAAGCTGACATGTGGAATCTTGCCTCTGGCGGTGGAAACTATCTGATCTGGGAGAGGTCGTAAATGAAATGCAGTTTTTATTGTACTGTCCTATGTATCACAATCTTAGATATAGGCTTTACCTTAAAATGTTCGCAGAATATCCTCATTTGTTTTTTATGTCTGATGAAGGTAGACATCAGCACCTGTTTATAGACAGTGTTTCACTGAGCTCAGTTTGTGTTAAAAATCAATTAACAGCCTCGGAGGCTGCTTTATATTTGACGCGTTAAAGGCGCAGTCTGTGCCTCAGATCAAATGCCTATGTTATGTTGTATAGCAGAAATGTCTGAGGAGCAGGATTGTGCTCATATCTGCTTTGACGGCACAGCTGTGGCTCAGGAGGTAAAGTGGGCTGTCCATTTGTGAGGAGGTTGGCAGTTAAATCCCCCGTTCCTCCTCCTCTGCATGGCAAAATATCCTTGGACAAGATACTGATCCCCAAACTGACTGACTAGATAAAGCCTGGGTCTTTAACAGGGGGTCTGCGATGACTAGGGGGTCCTCAGAGTAACTGCAGGGCGACTGCCAAATTATTGTCTCATCATTTAATTCAAGTCTTAATTTAGTTTTTGTTTCATTTTGTTTTGAAAAATTAGAACATGTATGAAAATACACATTGTCATGAATCCAACATGTTATTAGCAAAGATAACGAGGCCTATTCATGTAAAAGAAAACATTTAATTTACAGTACAAAACATTAATGATATACTAACTGTTACTCATGAATCCTTGTGCAATCATGTGAGCTAGCTAACGCCAAATCACTCTGTGGCACTTATCCATAATAACAGTTACATACTATTGAAACATATTGGCTGATTAGCTGTGTTATTTTTCCAAGTGTAGGGACATTCTTGTGTTGTTGGAACTTTTCAAGCAAAACACTGACACACTGTCCACCTCAGGAACCACTGACGAAAGTGCAGAGTGTGAGGCTAAAGCACCTAGCCAGGTTACAGCTGCTGTTGACAGCAGCTACAGGAAAGCACAAAAAAGAGAAGACCACAAAATAAGAGTTATCGCAAGTGCAACTCACTTTTATTCAATGTAGTAAGGGGTCCCTACTCTGTCTGTCTTTAAGCTAAGGGGTCCTTAGCCTAAAAGACACCCGTGAGAGTTTCCAGTATATAAAAAAAATATATACTTGCCGTCCGTGTATCAATACAATATTGCGACGAAAATATCGCGTTACAGGGTTGGATTTTTTCCCCCCGCCCCTAGTGAATGGATTAGTGTGGCATGTGCTGTTAAAGCACTTTGACTGGTTGGAAGATTAGAAAGGTGCTACACAAGTGCAGGTCCATTCATTTATCATTTGATTTTGTTTGACAATATTTGTTCCTTCCCTCTCATTATGATACTGCTCTTGTTTTTGATATGTTCGTAGTGTCTTTGGGGCTGTGTTTTTTTGATTACTTTTTTGACATTATATTCCAACACCACTGCAGGTTTGCTGCCATAAGAAACACAAAGCGCCCAGCCACAGCATGAGGGACAGACTGAAGAGAGAAATAAATACGCAGAAATGTCGATCACAGCAATCAGCGAAATACATACTGTAAGTCTAATGATAACAACTGATTACGCTGCGGTGATAAAGGGGTGAGTTGCTGCACTGAAACACAGCATGACAGCAAATAATCATAAGTCTGAAAATGCATGAACACATTTTAAACATATCATACATTTAACAGGATTGATCAAGCTAAACATTTTTGGAAATTACATAACAAGCTACAACTGGCCCTACAAGTCATTTCCTACATGAGCTTGTTAAATTGATTGTTTTGAAGACCTTTAAAGGCCTCAAGTTGAGAAGAATTCAAGGCATGTTTAGACTATTAGGACCCTGTGTTCTTAGCTATGAACGCCTCTCAGTGAAAAAGAAAATTCTCTCAGTCTCCATCTCTTCTCTCGTCCCTCATCTCTCTCCAACCTGCAGTCTCTCCTTTATATTCTCGCTTCCTCCTGTCTTTCTGTCATTATCTCTCTGTTCCTCATCCCCTTATCCCCCCTCCCCACAACCACCACCACCAACACCGCCACCACCACCTCTCTTTCTTCCTCTCCGTCCCCTTTCAATATCACTCACGCTCTCTCTCACTCCCTTATACTCCATCACCTTCCGTCCCTCTCTCTTTCTCTCCCTCCCCTCCATCCCTTTTTCTTTCTTTTTTTTTCAGTGAAAAAGCGTAGTGACTGGGAGCGTCACTCTGTGCGGATAGCTGGGAGCCGTTGGCGGTTATCGGCTCCTGCAGACTCTCTCTGCCGGTCTGATCTGTCTCCTCTTCATTAAGCAAATACGCCGACGTGGAAATGAAAACATAATAGCTATTTGATTTCCAGCGAGATATTTTGCATATTGGTTCGGAGCTGATAGCGGAATTTCATCAAGTCGTTTTTTTTCTCTCCTTCTCTCTCTTCCCTCCCTCTCCCGCCACCACCACCACCGCCACCCCCCACCCCTCCTCCACCATCTCCTTCTTTCCCTCCATCCTCATGCTTTAAAAACTGAATTACTGAGCTGGGCCGTCTTTCAGAGAGATTTCTTTACATTGCTGGGAAGAAAAAAAAAGAGAGGGAGAGAGAAATCTAGTTCCCCAGGAAGACTACTTAACCGATTAAATATCCCCCCTATTCCCATCTTTTTTCTCCCTCTCCCTTTTTGATAACAAGGAAGAAAATTTGAAGAATTCACAGTGCTTTAGGTTGACTATACTAATCAGAGATAGGAGTGAGAAAATTAACTCCTTAATGAGCAGAGCCGTCTCCCTGATAAAGGTCCTGGGGAGATGGCGGGGTGGGACACTGGCTGAACCTTGGGAGAGAGACATAGAGTCAGAGAAGAAGAGATAGACCACGACAAAGCCGACCAGCAGATGGAGGGATGGGGTGTAATGGAAACATAACGAGAGAGACTTGACACCATGCAGAGGTAACAATTAGTTTCCCTCCTCTGAGGAGGAGATATTTGCTTCTTAGGCATGAGGGGGGCAGGTAGAGAGATAGCAGCAATACCGCCCCTATAGCTCCACAGATACCCACAGTGCCTTGCATCAGTTCTGGCCGTGATGGATGGTCCATTGGCGGGGGTATCCTTCATGCCCCCCGGAGAGAAAAACTAGCCCTGGAGGAGAGGATCAGCAGCCTCTTCACAGCGGGCCTATCTGATAGTCCGGCGCCTCTCAGGAGGACTATTCACCGGCCCCGAGTCCACTGAAATAAATCTCCCTGCTGCTGCTTTCCATGTTGGAACACCGTGTTGCTTCAGACCTGATAGCAGTCCTGCCGTGTTACAGCTGCAGCCCGTCGAGTACTGTACACACTCACACATACAGTGGACTGGACACACACACTTTTGTCAAAAGGTTCGGGGGTTAGGAAAGTGGTTAAGAACTACTGCTGAAAGGTTAACATCATCAATCAGCATATCAGGGTAATGCTGTTCTATTCTTATTGCTGTCAACAACAGGTAAACAACAGCGCGTTGACCATCCCTCTATTCCTTCTAACTTCTCTTCCCATCTATGACTCTCAGCCAAACCCTAATTCTTTAAAGCTGAATTTTCTAAAAGGCTACGCAATTTCCTACAACAGCTGGGCCTGCCATTTTTGGCAAATGTTACTTAAACAGGAGCAAAGAGTGGATTTTTCGGGGACTATTTTCAGTGGTGGATCAATACACATTTAGGCACTATTCTTAAATTCATCAAACGAGAAGATGTACTTTAATAGACCTCCCCATCTGCCTCCATTCCAGGCTACATTGAACCCCTTACTTTTAATTGATTCATTTAATTATTCATTTTTCAATTTTATATTATTATTTCTTTTCTATTATTAGTTTTATTTATGGAATGTTTGAACTTATCAAAATTAATGTTATTACCCTTTATTTACCTATTTACTCATTTATGTTTCCTTTCCTCAAATATTCCTGCACTCTGGCTCCCATTATTCATAAATATTTGACACACATGCACAACATATTTTCATACATGCACACAAACACTCACAATGCTCACACCAGCAAAAAATAAAAAATAAAAATCTGTACCATACTCAAAGCATGTCTGTCCAATCTTTGTCTAATTTGTCACTTGTCTGTACTGTCACACTGACAAAATAAAGAGAACAAAAAAAGACGTGCTGCCGTTCTAGTGTGTTTCATTTGTCAATTGTATATTTGTTTTTTGTTCATTTTTATTCTTGGAAAAAAAGGTAAGCAACTGGAAGACATCACCTTGAACTGTGTTAAACTATGATGGCCAAATTATGTTGTGTTATTCTAAAATTAATCAAATAATCAGATACATTTAGTAGATTATTATCTGAAAATCTAAACAACAACTTATACAAAATTGTTCTTCTTTTTTTATTTTATTGTTAGAAAATAGACGTGTCAGTGCTTTCTGCTGGACAGCCAATGAAATGCATACACTGTTTCTATATAACCTTTAACATATCTTTGCCATTTCTGTACTGATGTTTCTTACTGAGTGTACCGATCTGATTTATCAGTTTAGCTCTACAGTATTTTTATAGATTTAAAGGGTAGATGAACTTTAGAGAGATGATCAGTGAGCCAATAGGAGTCAGTAGTGTACAAGAACAAATCTTAGAGTGTACTGTGTGTACACCTGTGTAGTGAAATTCCAAAGATAGGTTTGCTGTAGGGAGAGGGTTGTCATTAAATGGTTTGTTCACCAGACATCACAGACAAACACTTTAAAATGCCCCACTATGTAGATATAAGTTAGCATTCTTTTATAATTAAAGGCGCTGAATGTAAAAATGTGGCCAAAACGGTTACTGCACTCAAATTCAAAATACAGCTGAGGAGACTGCTAATGCTATGTACCGGGACACTGCTAATGATGCTTGTCGTGCTGCTGTAGCTTAGTCGTAACTTTAACTGATGCTGAGACTCTACTGACTGCGTGACTGGTAGACGGCAGTGGGTGGAGCAACAGGCCAAAACACAAATTCAAAACATAAACATGATTTGCAGACAGTAAAAAAATTTTTTAAATGCGAATATTCTGGCTGTACTATTGTTGTCGGTGAGATCAGTATGTTATATGAACATTATTCCTTAGTCTCTGTGACATATTAGGAGGATTTTATAACTATTTGCTTTAGATTTCTTACATATACATAGCTCCTTTAAATTTCAGGTGTCCATTTCAAAAAATGTTTATGCTGCTTTCAGTCATATAATATCAGATAATATGCCCTAATCAGATTTTTTAAACTTTCAAATACCGGTATCAGATGAAATCCTGTGTCATTATAAAAGCTATTTCAGAGGGTGAGAAAGAAGCTTGGGGGGAGAATCCAAAGAAAAATACTTAAGTGTTCCTTGAAACTGCTCAGTTTAGCTCTATAAAAGATTTAAAATCTTTCTAGGGTTTCTTCATGGAACTGTGTGGGCACAAAAAACAGCATCAATTAATAGAAAATGATCACGGTGTCAGCGAAGAACGGAACAACACACAATGTTTCAACAACAGTGTGTTAAAACGGAACCGCATGACTCACACAGTGTGATAAC